TATATATATATATATATATATCCATGTGGCTATGCTGAGCTGATAAGGCAGACCATACTGCTTCAATAATGGCCCCAAGGTTGTCATCATTAGCAACTTGGATCCATTTTTTTTTTGACGTTTCTCGGAATGTTCATAGTTAAATAATGCCTTAAGACAAGGAAGGCTAAACTTGTAGCCTTTTTCCTGGAAACATCTGTATGTGATGGTGGTTCAAGTATACTGATTCTAGACTCAACCAATGCCTTGTGAATCTGTAAATCCCAAATCCTTAAATTGGCATTGCTAACCAGAACCTTAAGGCTGCAGTTTTGTCTACTGTGTTCGCACCATTTGAATTCCAATTTATTTTTTATTAACATCCTTAGGAAGAGCACTCTGAACACAGCCAACTGTGTTTTGATTTGGATTTTTTTTTTATTTGAACAACCCAATATTCCCCATGAGCTTGGAAGACGGATACTTGGGACATGCTCCAGCATTGGAAAATTTACATACCAGTCACTACGTTCATTAACAAGGAAAACTGGAGATCCCATTCTAGCAAAGTGGTAAAATTTGTGGTTCCTAATTTGCAAAATTTATTATCTTGACTGACATAAGTTGTCAGTCAAGGTTCTGTAAGCCATTTACTCCTGGCTGACAGAATCAATGAGAATGGTAAGGAGAGAGGAGGAGGTCTGGTCAGCATTCCCCCTAGACTCCCCCTAGACTGTCTCCAACAACCTGTACTGGTTGTTGGAGACAGAAGTACTTTACCAAAAAATAACACCACTCTTAATGTCTTCCAACCAATGCAATAAGCTGTTACAGTGCTGGACAATTAATTGAGAGACAGATAGTTGCATCATAGATGACCTTAGAGAAGTTATTACACATCCCACAGCTGTTTGACGTTGTAACCACCACTGCTTTGAACAAACGTAGTGTTCCTCCCCCTGCTTTTTTTGGGGGACAGTTCTCCCATTTCTGTTGTTGCATTTATGCATAAACATACATATATTGGGGATTTGGGAATTGCTGAAATCTTAAATATCAACGAAAGGTTTCCAATACTATTTCAGATGATTGAGGTACTTTAAAGTACTTCTGCACCACAATTATTTTACCCAATACTGACAAATAGAAGTTTGACTTCTTTCAGTAGAGCGAAAGTTTGGCTCATTAGTCTAAGAGCATGTCACCTGTAGGAGAATGTCCACAAAAAATGGAATTTACACAACCCAGAAGACGCAAAATCACACAACTGGAACAGCTAGTTCTCTTTCCAAGTGTTATGCAAACTCTGTTGTGCCTTTTTAGTTTTTGCATCTGGGTTATGCTGGGCTATCCCACATCAAAAAGGAGGAAAAATAAATCACACAAAAAAATGGTGGCAGTCTTCCATGACCTGCATGAGATAATTATATGCAGACCTCGGCGGATATTTGCTGTGATAAAGATATACCTTAATGCTTGTATGCAGTGTGATGTTTCAAACAGAAACATTGTAACTTAATCCTATCTTGTTTTTTTGCCCTTTTCAGTACTCAAAAGCAATGTGAAGGTGATATTTTAAGAATTAAACTAAAAGGGGGATAAATAAACTTGAGATTATGGTTAAATAAACTATGTCTAAAATTTGAGAAGCATCTGTGGATATAATTAGCCTCAACTAGGACTCTTACATAGGTTGGGTGTAAGCACTTTTACAGCATATAGGAGCTAAATAATAGGTTCTTTTCTATATATTTTTTTCATTTTAAGATTTTTTTTCACTTCCCATTACCCATTTATTTGTGTCAGCTCTAGCGCCCATGGTGTTGGGTCTAGAGAAGTGTAGTGCGCTAGATTAATTGAGCATGGCAGAATGATGACAGCTGTTTACACAAGAAACCCTATGAGCATTTTAGCGCACCCTATAGCTCTGTGTATATGAGGTGAAAGATGGAAGGTTTTTTTCCCTTCCAACATTTTCAAAAGCCTGAACACACCATCCACCTGAGGATTGACCTCAATGCTGAACTAACTTCTAATGCTTTGAAGATTTGTATATAATACCAAGTTAGCGAATATATAATTTGGAATGTATTTAATTAGAAACAATAAGTATCCTATTGTGGTATAGATACCACCAGTGGTACCTGACTGTGTTTAGTGGTGCTCAGAAGAAAAGGTTGGTGTTACATATGCAAGAAATCCTTTAAATTAACATAGACAGCTGTAAGTTGGATTAATTGTTATACATTGATTTCACTAAATTATAAAATCTGCTTAAATCTTTAGTCAGTAGTGTTGAGCTTTTTTCAGTTTTGGAATTTCCGTTAAAATTGTCTTATTGTAAAATAAATGTTTCATCTTTCTTTCTCTTAGAGAACTAAAAATGTTGTAAAACTGTAATTTCAATTTATTCTTAAAGCTCTACACAGGGGGTACTTCAGATGTTTTTTTTTTCTCTTTTCAACTACAGTACTCTATTTGTGACCTCTGTTTTGCATCTTTATAATTAAAATATTTAAATGTTATGCTAAAACATTGTAAGTGCTGAGGTGGTGCCTGTTTATGAAGGTGTTAGAGCCACTGACTTAGAAAAAAGCAAAACCGACAATGGAACAAAGACATCCGGGTGGGAATGTGCTCAAGAACAGATTAAATCATCTCAATCATCATAAGCAAGTATAAAAAGTATTTACAGGCATCTCAAGTGTTGATCTCAATGGCAGCTGTTAAGAACACTTCATTGCTCTTGGAACTGGGTGTGTGGGTCAAAGATTGAGTGTCTCTTTGTGTGTAGGAATAATTATTTGAAAGCCCGTGAAGTGCCTCAAGGGCAGAGTCCAGCTCTATCACCTGTGAACACACAATTTCCACACTCTGAAAAGAACCTTTTTTAAGGTATTTCAGCATGCCCTGAACTAACAAACAAACAGTAAGTATTCAGAGATCCCCTAAGAAGTAAAAACACATTACCATCTTAAGGCTGACAGGTAGGGTCCAAGTGAAACAGGAAAAAAAGTGTTTCAGAGCCTCTACAAAAACAAGGCTTTAGCAGAAAACTAGCTGTTTCTGGCAACCCCCACTGGCAATAGACGCTTGCTCTTACAACTTTCAATATACTCAATGTTAACATAAACATATACAGGGGACATTTTCATGGGGTCTCCCCTAGATAAACATACACTTCCACCTAATTTGCTTGAGAGCATAGTTTTAGATATTAAAAGAACGAATCATTGCAAAGCCCTTCTTTCATATCTTACTAAAAAATGTGGTTATGCTTTAGGAAAAAAACTTCTTTGATCAATTTAGCAAAGAGAATTATAGAAAATCTATTTTAGAAGTTCCATCCTTAAGATAAAACTATTCATTTTACTTTTATTCTTTCTCTTTTCAGGACTTTATGACAAATGTTTCTACGCTTCCAGTGACAGAGGTTGGCTGCTTGGGATCCAGGCAGTTAGCGAACATGGAAACCGGGATCCTCGATTCTTCTTTTCCCTCAAAACTGACCGTGCTCACAAAGTGACCTCCATTTATGCTAACGCCCGTTATGTACCTAACCAATGGGCACATGTTGCGATCACATATGATGGTGTGTACATGAAGCTCTTTGTCAACGGGGCCCAAGTTGGTGTTAGCCGAGAGCAGTCGGGCGATATCTTCAGTCATTTAACTAAAAAATGCAAAGTGCTGATGATTGGCGGGAATGCACTCAATCACAATTACAGGGGTGCAGTTGAAAAAGTGGGTTTGTGGAGGCAAGCCCGTGGACAGAGAGATATCATAAGGGATATGCAAGGGCATGAAGACCCTGGAGACCTACCTCACTTAGTCATTCGTGAAACCTTTGAGCACCCAGGTCGCAAGTGGTTGACAGTTAAAGATGGTAATTTCCCTCAGCCAGAGAAGGGAGGCCCTGGACAACAAGGATTTGTCAGTAGAGATGGAGTGGGAAATAATGAAGGACTATTGGACACAACTCTAGAACCTCCAGCTTGTGGCCAAACTGTTTGTGACAACACTGATGTCATCAAAAACTACAACCTGCTTTGGACTTTCCGTAGGCCAAAGAAAGTACGATATCGTGTTGTAAATATTTGGGATGATGCAAAGAAGAGACCAACTGTATTAGACAACCAAATTATCTTGCAACACCAGAAGCTTAACGATGCCTTTAGTCCTTACAATATATCCTGGGAACTCAGCATTCATAATGTGACCAGCTCCTCCCTACGTGACCGCTTAATTCTTGCCAACTGTGATATTGGCAAAATTGGTAACGATGAATGCGACCCTGAATGTAATCATCCACTGACGGGGTTTGACGGAGGTGACTGTATATTTGGACATCCAACCAACTGTCCTAACCACAAACTGGGAAATGGAGTATGTGACACTGAATGTAACTGTGATCATTACTTCTACGATAACGGCGATTGTTGCAACCCCAATGTGACAGATGTGACCAAGACATGTATCAACAGTTCCTCTCCACACAAGTAAGAACCCTTGGTTTCAGTGTTTTTATAGTAGCATATTTTCTTCTTAAAAGCTGGTTCATAAACACATGACTTTAATTCGCTGCAAAGCTTTAACTCATTACAGCAGTCTGTGCTTAATTTTATGAATATTTTCACTGACATTACATGAAGCACATATTAAAGCCTCTAATGGCTTGCCTAAATCAAACAGCAATCCTTTTCCTACATCAATCTCTTAAGAAACGCTTTTATTTTTGGTCTGGCCTCACTGTTTCTTGACTGTTAGGGATGACGCTAACAGTAACCCAACTCCCAGGCTCTGTGGCCAAGAAATCCTCTCGGGTAGTAAGTCTAATCTAGCCTTGGCCTTGTCAGTATTCCACACTCAAGCAGGACAAAACAAATGCAAGAGGGTGGCTCTCCTGGTAGCAAATATAAGAGCCAGGCTAATCATTTTCTGTCTAGTTTTTAACAACGCTCCTTTCTTGTTTTTTTTACACCCAGTGGTCTTAATTAAGTTTGCTTGGTTGAAGATTGGAGCTGACTTGAAGGAAGTGATAAGTTAAACAGTGTGTAGAGTATTAGAGGTCAAAAATGAAAGGCCAACATGCCTCTTTCTTGTACAAAAAGAGATCGTTCTGGTTTTACACATCAAGAAAAAAGAGTTATCACCTGAATATTGCCAACTTAAAGCTTTTTCAGAGAAAAACACAGATGCATTTCTTGTGTGTTGTTGAACAAGTATCTTTAAGGGTAAACAATGGTCCCCGAAATCAAGGCAAATATTTGTTTTTGTGGTAGATTCATTGTGGTCTCTAGATGATGAGTAAAATTCTGTGAGGGAATATTCAGAGGAATTTCCTGTAAAAATGTTTTTGCCAGACCTCCAATAGCATGATTGTTTGTTTCTGGGCATGCTAAAACTCAGCTAAGCAAAGTAAGACATTTTTGTGGACAGCATATCAGAAAAGAGACAACAGTTACCAATATTTATCATGTCATATGAGGACATGTACATGATAAAAAAGTATCTAGGCAAAATTATTTTCCTCTGTTTTTCTACCTGATTATATTATTGGATAAGATAACTATTTTTAAGTGAAGCTAAGGTAGAAGTACATTCAGTTTTGTTTTTTACCTTTTGTAAGAGACAAAAAATGCAAATATTACCACAAATAGCTTAAAATTACATTTATTCACAATATAAAAATGTAAAAGAGGTATTTACCATTTTTTTCACATCTCATCATCTCACTGAATTGATATCCAACTTAATTATTACCAATTTTGCTTAAAATAACAGTGAGAGCAGATTTTTATTTTTAATATTTAAATCTCCTGCTATGAATTAAACCTAGTGTGTTGCAAAAGGATATAAATGTCACAAGATTTTTCTTGTTAAGAAATAGATATGATCTCCCTAAATGGTTGCTTATTTTGCTTTGATTATGGAATGTCTGGAGAGAGCTGTCCTACAAACAGTTCAACATTCCTCTTTAATTATGGAATTCTTGTTGAACAATGTACTGCACATGTAGAGAAACAATAGTTTAGAGGTTTAACTTCTCCTTTTTTACCATTTTCGTTTTACTTCTTATGAGCAATCTGTGTTTGACAGCACACCAAGTTGTAGACACATTTTATAAACAGGAACAAAGTTTTTTTTTAGGGCTAAGATAGGGTTACCGAGGTTATAATTATATCAATGTGAAATTAAAGGTGAAGTAAGACAATCAGCTGTGATGATCAAAGCCTTAACCTTTGATCAATACAACTTACTGTCAAGCAATGGAGGCCAGAATATATTCTGTCAACGGAGATAAACACAACACACGCTTTCCATTTTCNCTAGAGCTGAAAACTAACAATATAAAGTAGATTTGAGCAGATGTTTTTGGTTCCAAGCTTCAAATTAGAAGTTGAGGCCAAAATGCTCTTTTCACAGAGAGACAAAGCTATTTTGGCCTGTGGAGTTATAACAGACAAACCATTAATGATACAGCCATGATCTTTTCTGGCAATCACCGTTGGATGAAAATATTTCATATTGCTTATACAGACTTTGACTTCATGTGCCTTGTGTTCTCAGTGCTATTTACTGATGAAAACAATTACAACAGTTTTAGCATCTTCTTAACCACAAGGACTATTCAACATCGCTTTGTTCAAATTTACAAGGAATCAAACAAAAAACAACCAGGGCATTATTGTCATCTATGAGAACGGCTGACATGCTAGTCACTGGGTGCAGATTAACCATAACAGTTTTAACTCATTACTTGTGCAAATAGACCAAACAAACAAATGTTCTCCATTGTTTTGGAACTTATAGTGAAAATATCTCAAAACACTTCACAGACAAAAACAAGACAGATTATCAGGAGAGACAGTGAATCTATTACAGCCTTAATAGGATTTTTGGACAGAAAAGTCTGGCTTGGAGCTGCTTTGGGTCTGATAATCTATGTTGTTTTTTCTTTTGGCCCCTTCCACCCTGTGCCCCTCGTTGGTCGATACCTTTCACAGTGGCAGATTAATATATAGACCAGCTTTATGTCTTTTTCACGCCTTCCCTCTGCTGCAGTACAGTAGAAAGTTTATCTCTTGGTCCCATGGTGTCATTTTTTTACTCTTGGTCTAAACTTTAACCCTGTTCCGCATAAAATATACTTACGTACTTTGCCATTACCCTCAGGGATGTACTCTTCCCTGTTAGAATTTAGTGAAAAAAAAAAAAAAAGTAACTAGTGGGTTGTCTAAGTCTGAAGTAAGAATCCTTCATAGCAAGAGGACTTAGGAGAATGTTGGGATGCAGAGGAATTTGTTCTGGTTATGGCAGGACAACATATAGGTAAATATAAAAGTCGGTGACTGAAAATTAAGACACACCAAGGAATATAGCTGATGATGCCATGGTTAAACCATTGTGGTTCAGAAGTCAAAGAGGTCACTGATGAAGACTTTCTCACATTTTTGCCTAAGCTGTAGTAGTTTACAAGGGTATTCCCAGCTAACATAAGTCTCAAATTCTCAATGGATTCCGGTTTTCTTTTTTTATGCATTTGTTGTGAATGTGCTTTAAAAAAAATCCTAGAATGGACCCCATGTTATCCTTCCTAAGCAAGGAGTTCTAAGAGGACTCTACTGGAAAACTGAATAAGAAAGAGACGGTATAGTAATAAAACCAGAGATAAATGATGGCTTAAAAGGCTATGATGCTGACCAACCTGAATGATAGTGTAGCTAAAGACCCTTCTGATTTGAAAAAATGTTCTTGGCTGTTAGACTGTCATTGCAGTGCTAACTCACCGTGCTACCCTAACAACATGTATACGAGGCAAATTTATGGGCTCGTTTCAGTTTTATGTAGAGGTAAATGAAGGAAGTTTTAACCCCACACTTAATGTTTTTGGTATAAAAACATAAAATGGGTGATTTATGTATCTCTATCTTTGACTGCCCTGAAGAGAAGCTTTATTAAAGAGGCAAATCTTTCTTCGAGGATGTCACCTTTGTGTCCGTTCCTCTCCCAGCCCCTCTTTAAAATCCACTATCTTAGGGCCCTGTCACACTTTGGTGATTTGGCCAGCATATGCCTGACGTTCCCAGAATGTACTAAAATGCTGGCATATGCTGAACTTTCTATTTATTTTTTCAATTTTGGGGCGCATACATAGCATAATTATCTCATTATCACAAGTTCTTGTCTCGTATCATAACGAGTCAAGAACTTCTGTCCAATTACAGATTAACTTATGTATAAGGCATGGCAGCTTAATGCCCATGAAATGTCACAAGCCAGTGCCGTTGGGGGAGCAGTGATGCACCCGGAGGCGCCCAGTATGCATAAAAATATTTATCTAATCGCGGTATTAACCTACCTGCTGTGTACCGCTCACCAAATAAAAAAGTATAAATAGATAAAAAGAAAGAAAGAAGGTTTGCAGTCGCAGCAGATTCAGTATCATGTCTGCTTGGAAGTTTGTTGGTTGTAGTCGTGGGCGTGAATGCAGAGAGGATCCATCACACTCACCTTCTCCTTCACTGTAAGATGTGGATGCAGTCTGGAGGAGAACCGATGGTTTCCTCCTGTGAATCCGCTTTTATACCAAAACGCTGCCAATATGCCATACGTTACTAGAGCTGTAAGTTAGAAACATGTTCAGTGGTCATCTAGAAACGTCAAATATGTTATATGATGCAAATATGACTTGGAGTTAAGTTCTGATTAGTTATGCATAAGTTATGCTCAAATTACTCATAGGTTTTGGATAAGCTAGACGCCACGACTTATGAGTAACTTACACTTAACATATGTGAACGATCACATAACTATCCTGTAACTTATGGCCCACATGAGCATACACTGTCTGTCATACCTCAGAAAATTTTGAGCATGCTCAAAATTTCTCGACGTACATGCTGTATCTCGACGTGTGCCAGAATGTTTCAGCATGCTTCAGTGTATTTAAGTGTGCTCATAACTTAGACATAACGTACCCATAGGTTATCCAATGTATGCCACATTTTGGCCAGATTTTCCGTAGTTATGGCATACGCCAGTCTAAATCGTCAAGGTGTGACAAGGGCTTTAGTTTCCATTAAGTAACTGTTCTACTGGGTTGCTCCTCAAGTTGTGTAATTAAATATTGAGAAATCCCGCTCCTGTCAAGGGGCTCCAGTATAGGTATAGGCAGGCAGTTCAATGATTCAGCTCATTTAAATTTTAAAGATTGATACAAATATGTGATTTTTAATGTCCAAGATGTTAAAATATTTAGCTAATAATTTGTGTAAAACAGCACTGTATAACTTTTAGCCCCTAAAGTAACTGGCAAAAATGTTGTGTCAGAAAATGAAACAGTTTCCCTCAGGTTATGGAATAGCAAACCATTTTCGACCTGCAGACTAGGAGGACATGGAGTTGCTTCTAAAAACAAGGCCACATTCTCCTCTCAAGATGAACTAATACAATAGAGAATCAAACATTTTCTGATCAGGAAGTCTGCCATAAAGCG